GGGGTTTGGGGCATGCCAATGCCGCGGCCCCGGCCATTGGTTCTTCTCGGGACCTGGTGGCTTCCACCACAACGGCGCTTCTCCCTGATGACCACATCTCCGACCTCATCAAGTGCTTCAACTGCGGCCTTTCCGGCCACTCCCAGGTCGCTTGTACTCGTCCCCAGGGTTGCTACCTCTGCTCGGATCCTGACCACCCAACGATCCTGTGCCCCGACCGCCCGGCGCCGGAGGAGTGTTGGATGTATGGACATGGGATTGAGGGCTTCGGCTTCTTCCACGTAGAGGTGCCTGACATCCCCTCCCCCTCACCATCGCTCCTGGCGATTTTCACCGTGAAGGATGGGGTCGCCTCGCCGGAGATGTTAGAGGAAGAGCTCAACCATCTCTACCATTGCTCATGGGATTGGCAGGTCACCATGCTCCCCGGAGGCCAGTTCTCGGTTGTGTTCCCCGACGCCATCAGCCACGGCTACGGCACCCGCAGAGGAGACATCACTTTAGCCCTTCACGACCTAGTAGTGGACATCTCCGTGCCGGTGCGGGACCCCCTGGCGGTGGCGGTCTTGGACACTGCTTGGATCCTCCTCGGGGGCCTACCCGACATCGCTCGTTCAGAGCGGGTTATTTGGAGCATGTCCCGCATCCTCGGCAAGGTGGTGGTCATGGACGAGCTATCCCTCCGCAAGGAGGAGGAGGTTCGCGTCAAGGTCAAATGCCTCGACTCATCCAAGCTTCGCGCCACGATCCGGGTGTTCTTCAACGATCAGGGTTTTGACCTCCGCATCTCCCTCGAGCCGCCCAACCACATTGGCCGCCCCCGCATCCCCGACGATAGCTTCTTGGGGGTGGGCCAGGCGGAGATGGGGCGGGGGATCGGTGCAGCGACCGCGACCCCCGTCACGGACACCGCTCCGGCTCGGAGGAGGACGATGACGACTCCGAGGACAGTCCTCCTCACGACCAGCCCCCCGCCCCTGCTAGGAGTGGCGGCGGGACCGTCCGCACCCGCTCCTCGACCGTTGCGTCGCCCCCCGACGATGGCCTCGACGCTTCGGACGCCAGCCTTCAAGTCTTCCCCGCCTCATCACCTCGCTCCCCCGTCGGTCAGCTGCTTGATGTCTTCACCAACCTCTCCGCCGAGGCCGCCCTGGACCCGCCCCGCTTGGCCACGCCCATGCTTCCCGCTCCGTTGGTGGGGTCCCTGGGGGTGGTCGTGGCCACCCTGGACCCGACCCCTTCTGACCCGGCCGATGGTGAAGCGGCGCTGGAGATGACGCTGCTTTCCTCCCTGCTGCCTGCAGCAGCCAGGCCGCAGCCGGGGATGGAGATCCAGCCTTTCGGCGACGATCTGGCTCTGACGCCGCCAGCTCCTCCGGCTTCCGTACGGCCTTGCGGCCCGACGCCTCCGGGTTCGTCTCTGATGCTCCTGGACTCCGCTGCCATGGGGCTGCAGGTGGTGGTGACCACCCCGGTGGCCGCCCTCCCTCCACCCCCCGGACCGCGGCCTACTCCAGGCGGGCTAGGTCGACCTCATCGCCGGTGACCTCCTCCCGCCGCAGTGCTCGGATCGAGGCGGCCAGGCCGGTTGGCAGCCCTGCTCTGCCTATTCCCGAGAAGGCAGAGCTCAAGGCCGCTGCTCGGAACCTCGAGCCAGGTACCCCGATCATCCCTACCACTTCAGCTACTCGTTCCTTTTTGTCCTTGGAGTCGACTCCGCTTGGCCACCTCACGAAGGTGGCAGCGAACTCGACGATTGTGTTTCGGGGGGAGGTTGCCCCCCCGCTAGTTCAAATTGAGACTATCCGTGCACGGGAAATCCTAGATGGTCGCCTCGCCGAGGCCCGTCCACACGCTTCCTCGTCTTCGGACGCCCCCTCGGGGACGGCTCCGAACCCTCCGCCTCGCCTGCCGGCCGCCCCAGTTGAGATCCGCGGCCGCACTCGCTCTCGTACCGCTGCCCTTTGCGCCCAGAGCGCTTCTAGTGTCTTGGGGTCAAGCAGCCCCCCGATGGATGATTGATGCGGACCCTCTTTTGGGACATCCGTGGTTTCGGCCAAGATGGCCGACGCCGCCAACTAATCGAATACATGCGATCTGAGCGAATCGACATTGTGGCCATTCAAGAAACCATGCGTACTGAATTTTCCCTGTCGGAGCTCGAGCCCTTGAGCTTCGACCTATTTGCTTGGCACTGGCTCCCTTCTAGTGGGAGTGCGGGCCACTCGGGTGGCATCCTCCTAGGGGTGAAGGATGCCACCTTTGAGGTAGGCAACATGGATCGGGGCGAGTTTTCTGTGAGCATGGAGATTTTTGAGCGGGCTCTGAACTTCAAATGGGAAATTATTGCGGTATATGGGCCGGCCGACCACCGCCGGTCTGAGGCTTTCCTCGGTGAGCTCAGTAGGGAGGTCACGGCTGCGCAACTTCCGGTTGTGGTGGGAGGTGATTTCAACCTCATCAGGTCGGAAGAAGACAAGAGCAATAACTTGGTGAACCTCCCACGGATGCAGATGTTCAATGACTACATCGCGGACATGGGGCTGCGTGAGCTTGATCGTGTCGGGGCCAGGTTCACTTGGACTAACCGTCAGGTTGAGCCGACTCGATCAGTCCTCGACAGGGTCTTCGCTTCCCCTGAGTGGGACATTCGTTTCCCCCTAGCATCGCTCTGGGCGATTATGCGCATTGGCTCAGACCACGTCCCCCTTCTCCTCTCTTCAGAGAATGAGCGTCCTCCTCTCCTGCCCCGATTTCGCTTCGAGACCTTCTAGTTACGCCAACCTAGGTTTTCTGTTGCCGTGGGCACGAGATGGCTCGAGGTGAAGGAAATATGCCCCAGAGGCAATAATAATGTTATTATTTTATTTCCTTATATCATGATAAATGTTTATTATTCATGCTATAATTGTATTATCCGGAAACATAATACTTGTGTGAATACATAGACAAACCAAACGTCACTAGTATGCCTCTACTTGACTAGCTCATTAATCAAAGATGGTTATGTTTCCTAACCATAGACATGTGTTGTCATTTGATTAACGGGATCACATTATTAGGAGAATGATGTGATTGACATGACCCATTCCATTAGCTTAGCACCCGATCGTTCAGTATGTTGCTATTGCTTTCTTCATAACTTATACATGTTCCTATGACTATGAGATTATGCAAC